TGGTATAAAATTATCTTCAATTAGAGATCAGGCCTTGTGCTATCACTGCTGCCTTTATCGGAAATAAGATCTCCTCGGAGAAGTGGAAAAAGGAGATGGGATTTTTCTTCTAAGCATCCAAACATTTGAAATTCACTCCCTGCTTGATTACAGGAAAAGTTTGGAATAATATCAAAACTAATATCTGATTAAAACACTACGCAAACGTTTTTGAAGTAAACTTGAGGTTTCAGTTGGGAGACTGAAAATGTGAAAATTTAGCTCTGTGATTGCATCTTTGATATAAAAACCTGAATCACCCCAAATTTCCTTCACTTAAACTGATAATTCTTGGCACCTCCCATCATCTAAGTAAAGCCAGTGCAGTAACCCTATCTGTGGATGTTCTGTACTGTAGCTGAATTTCAATCAAAACCAAAGAATTTAGGGGTGATATTTGATCCTGGCTTGACTTTTGACTTTCTTATGTGCAGAATATTATAAAAACTTCATCTCAGAAATATTGCCAGACTATGTTGTCTGACTCTCACAGAAAAGCTGGTCAACACATCTGTCTTTTCCAGAATTTCTAGAAGCATTGAATATCTAGTTCAAACAGTGGTCCAAGAAGATTTAGTGAAGAAATTATAGTTTCTGCTTTTCCACTTGTAGTCCCCGCAAGAAATGTGTCCATTAAAATGTGTCATTAAAAGAGGCCTTCAGGCTCGACTAATGACGAGGAGAATACGGTACAATACTCAGAGATTGAAGTGGAAACATAAACAAGGGCCACCGTACATTTTCACCTTGCGTCTGTGCATTCAGAAACCTCAGCCAGGCACATTGTCCAATTTAATCCTGTGCAACCAGTAACATCTTCTAGAAGATGGTGATGATTCTCAGGTTGCTGCGATTATCAGCCAATGTGAGTATGCAAGGAAAGAGAAGAGAAAGGAAAGAGAAAGTTTAAGTTGCCTAAGAGGATGAGCACATTTAAACATTCATGAAATTCTGAAAAGGACAGTTTAATCTACAATACGGACAGCACAGGAGGACAGAGTAGTTGGTCTGATACAAGGGACAGCGATTGATCCATTAATAAATTTTTAGTTGCTGTTCAGTCAACATATCGCTCCAAGGTTACAGTGCTCATAGTATTTGAAGGTTTCTGGAATGGCTTAGAAGTAGGAGGATTAAAGTACTGGATCACTTGCCTAATTTGCATTTTTATTACTTCTAACCAGCAAGTTGCTAAGGTATTAGGAATTGAGGTAAAATTATGAAACTGTTTAAGAAATATTCTGAGTAAGGTTTTGTACTGCTCTGAGATGTAATATCAATGTCTAGGCTCTTCAAGATATTGTTATCCTGATAACTTGTCTTTTTTTCTGTGTTTTTGCCTGTTCTTATTTCTCTTTCTCTGTAATGTAATATATATAGTTTGGCATTTTGAATGTTAATAAAATGAGAAATAAAAGCTAAATGAGCAGAAGTTTCTGACTAGCACAGGAAATTATTAATATAGTTTCTTACAGGAGACATAATTGTAATTGAAACAAAACAGTGGTATAATGACAACAGGGCAAAATTCTAAATAGTCTTTTTGGTGCAAGGAGTTGCCATTTTATTTTCACCAACTGTAGCATTAAGCTTGAAAGTGTTGCTGTTTCAGAGTTTATACCTTAATGAGTAGCAGGAACTCCACGTTTCCCAAAGATGGCAGGGAATTATCTTTTTCAAATACTGTATGATGTTTCAGATCAGTGTGCATGTGACCAAACAGTTTAATTAGGTGAAGATTTTAATTGTATTGTGGATGGGCATCTTGACAGAAACAGCTCAGAACCTCAACTTACTGTACGTCAATTAGAGAGCTGGTGTCAATTTTGTCCACTTATGATTTAGTGGATGTGTGGAGGTTAATTCACAACATCCATGCATTTTCTAACCACTTCATTCATCTCAGCATGTGTGAAATTCTCAGACCAAGGTGTACGATTGTGAGATATGGTTCCAATAAGTGAGCTATGGAATTATGTACCATTGCAGCTGCTGGCTGGTGAATGATCTTGTGGTGTATTACTATGAAAGATTAATTCAGTATGGATTTTTGTGTGTGTTGTTGACGTTCATTTATTTGGCCAGGCAGCACTTGTTTAAACAAAGGTTTAAATAGACAAATTAATAAAGGGTGTTCTTACTGGTGAAGTTGTTGTGACCTTTAAAGTAGTGATATTGTTTTCTTGTAATTAACTGCTTCACCAGCTGGATGCTTTAAAAATTTTGGGGGGTGTGACGCATGAGGTAAAGGATTAAACATTAAAAAACGATTATTTTCATTTTTTTCTTTGTATGTTACTACAGTATATGTTTGTATTTTTCTATTCTTTTTTTTGTATATATGTACCATAAGCTGCTTAATTGCTATTGGAAAATGTAATGTATTATTGTTTAACTTAACTGTTTACTAAAGGTTGTTATAAACCCTATCTGTCTATGTAATCATTAGAGAAATCATGTCACTGTTTAATTTCAATTTAAATTCACAAAAATGAAAATGCAGAAATAACACAGAGGCAACAGAATAGTACAGCCAGATCCCCAGGGGAGAAAATTGTGATAATTTCCATTAAGGATACGGCTGCTGGGTGCTGTAAATGCCATATGCATCACAACACATTATCCATATCCAGGTGACTGTGTCATTTAACCTTGTGAATAAACCAGTGTGTATAATTAATGGCAAGCACAGGACTGAGACCCCTGTATTGAGCTCATCAGGATTCTCATCAGCTAAGTGGTATTTGAAAATGACTCAACCTGTTTTAATTAATAAAGTTCTGGTTGGCTTATATCAGCTCTTAATCTGTCTGCCTGTTTAAGTCAGTGGCTAATCATGCACATCATGAAAAGAGTACAACTGTAGGGAAAGAGGTGGAGGGGCCATTACCAATGCTCATAATTTTGGTTTCATGTACTTTTCATTACTGACCAGTTCATATACAGTAGAGTAGTGATCTAGCCCTTTGGCAGATGAGCATTATTTCATATAACAAAATATTTTTTTTAAAAACCATATAATTCAAATATAAAACCTATGAATAAACTCTGCACAGGGGACTGTCTACATAAATCTCTCCCCTTCTTTTATCTTAAGGCCATGATACAATAATTTTATTTTGATTCTCCTATTCTGTGTGATTGATTTGAACTTACAGCTTTACTCTCTAAACTGTAGTAAGGAAAATATTATAACCCCAAATTTAAAATGTTACTCATGTCCATACGTGTACTGAAAAATGCATATCAAGTCCTTTGTGTGTATGTTTTACAATGCAAAATGCAAATCATTAAATATTAACACTATTATTAACCATTTTTATAACTAATATTTTTATTAGATCTCCATGTAAAGAATACATTGCTGAAGAATTGTTTATTTTCTTATTTAAGTTTTTACATTGTGATTGTTTTCAACATTTGCCATATGAACTTTCCATAATCATAAATGATCGAGTTATATTTATATTTTGTTTTTCCTACTGAGTCACCTTGATTTGCCATTTAAACGAAAACAGCATAGAACATCAGGGATATCCAAATGGCCGTTCAGATCAGACTCTGAAATACTGAATAATAAAGCTCAGGACTGAGACCTAACACTCTTAATGCATGTGAAAGAATGCCAATGGTACAAAGAAGAAAACAACTAATGCTATTGAAATGATTGTTTTTTCTGGATTAGAAATATGTTCTTTAATCACATTTTAAAAAAGCAACAAATCATACAGGAGCTATCTAATAAATTGTGACAAACTTTTGCAAAGTTTACAGACTCTGAGGCTAAATGCTTTGGCAGATGTGGGGAAGAACTGAACAGACTTACAAACTCAATCACTTTCAGATGCAGGGTAGTCAGCCAGACTTTTAGATACAGGAGAACAAGGCCACCAAAATCATTAAACCTCCAAATTAGTCCTTAGCTGTTCAAGAATGCTGTGCAAGGATACTAATCAAGGGTAGTGTGTTCCTTACTCTTGTCTCATGTTTTTTTTTTTTTTATGCTGAACCTTTGGCAGACCCTCTTGGTACAACATGCACCAGGGATGTAACACAAATAGAAAAGCTAGAGAAAACGAATATTGAGTAGTCTAATTCCAGCAAGGGCAGCACAGTACAGTGGCTTGGTGTTTTGCATTTCTGCCTCCCAGCATTAGGGCCCTGGGTTGCTGTCTGCACAGAACTTGTACAGTATGTTCTCTCCATGTCGATGTGGGTTTCCTCCTGGTGCTCCAGATTCCTCCCATAGTCCAAAGACATGCTAATTGTAAGTAAGTTAAGAAGGGAGAAGCTTTAACCAAGCATCAGCTTATTTCATTCCCGAGACACATATTCCTAATGATACCAAAGATAAAAAATGCATAACTTTAAAGTTACCAAAATATAATGATCTTTGTATCCTCAGTCTATGGCTTAATCACTATTATACTTAGTGCTACCTTTATGAAGATGTCAGAAACACCTGAGAACTCAGAAAGGTGCACAAGCAGAGAACTCAAGACTAGTCAGCAAAACTAGGATTCAGACCACAGCATCAGTCTGAGAACAGAGCCCTGAATAATGTGCAGGCAGATCTTAAATAGCCTGATTCACCTGCAATGGAAGTGGTTGCAAATTGTGCACAGGTGGAAGAGGCTTCCGGTCTGATTGTATAACCATGACAACCATCTGACTGAGGTGTGGTGAGACTCCTCTGGCACTCCATGGTGTAGTAATGTTAATTCGGGTTATGGCACAAACATGACAGTGCAAGTGTGACCTTATTTAAGAATATTATTCACAATGTTGTGTTACAGTACCAGCATCCCGCCACCAGAGGGCACCTATACAGTTATGGCCTACTTCATCCACTCTGGGGAGGCATAGGCTAACCACAACCTCGTTAACCTATGACCGCACCTCCCCTTCAGCCTACTTAAACCCTGCTGTCTGTTTCTACCTTGCTCAGTATTGGGTTGTACCTGTTGAGTTACTGCACACATCAGGGCCTCCTGGGAACCTGCTCTTGACTGCTTCTTGGTTTATGGACTTTAGGATTGCCTCCTCTTTGATCCTGATTCCTGATTCCTGATTCCTGATTCCTGATTCCTGATTCCTG